GTCAAGGAGGTGGACAGTGGGTTCATCAAAAAGACCGCTGAGGTGGAGCCCACCCTGGCTGTGACTCGGACAGGGGCTCCGAGAGACCGTGAGGATGTGGGTGTGACACCGAAGCCCCAAGAAGACAGGAAGCTCCAGGCTGGACCGAGTCCCAAGCAGAGGCCCACAGGGAGAGTCGTGAGATATGGGGTGGAAGGTGGGGCAGCAGGAGCAGAGTGACAGAACCTGAGGCAGGGCCAGGCCATGCGGCCAAGCGCAGGGGTTGGGTCGCCCAGAGCAGAAGTTCTCTGGCCAGGGAAGCAGGGAAGCTGTGAGAGCAGAGGGCCATACTGGGGTCCGGGGACAGTGGCTGGTGGCCCTGGGGTCCCCACCCACAGGGTTTCCTCTGCCCGACACGGGGGCAGGGTGCTTCATGCTGCATCACTGAGGTGATGGATGGGATGAGAAAGGCAGGGAAATGGCATTGGGAAGAAGCCCCTGGGCTCCTGCTGAGCAGTGGAGGGGAGAAGAGGGGGGACAGGGGGAGGGGGGGGAACAGAAGTTAGGAAATGAGGTCACTGAGCACTACCGTGACAGCAGTCTGTAACAAGCCAGAGTGCTCTGTGCAATCTCAGGGTGGTCACCATCGCCGTGTAACAAACCACCCCAGAGTTAGGGGCATGAAACAGCCACTCCATTTCACCAGGGGTCGCCAGGGGTCACTTCTTGCTGTGCCAGTGCATCTGGGCTCGGCTGGGGAGCCCCATGGGCTGGGTGACTCCAGATGGGCAGGGTCTCTGGAGGTGTCCCCCCACGCCTGCCAGCCCCAGCGTCTGTGGGCGGCCACCCCAGGAGAGTGGCCCGCTGGCCTGCTGACTCCTCCAGGAAGCCTCCTTCCTATTCTGCTCCACAGAGCGCTGGGTAGGAAAAGCGGGGTGTAGCCGCTGTTCTGGGTTGCTTGACTCCCAGGGAAGAAGGACCTGGCAGGGGACGATCTGGAGACTTGGCCTGACATGAAGGAGAACCAGACATGAAGGAGAACGGGAGAGGGAAAATCCGGGTCCTATGGATCCTGGCGGAAATCCCCACAGCCGGGTGGGGTTGGCCCCGGGGGATGCAGCACAGAACAGCAGGCCTGGCTGTGGCCCTGCTGTCACCTGCTGTGACCTCAGCTTGGGCTGGGTCACAGGCCTTTCTGTGCCTCTGTTTCCCCATCTGTGCAGTGGGTTGTCATAGTTCCCACACATAATCTCCTGACTGCAGCAGACTCGGGGCAGTGTAGAGCCCAGGGTGGTGATTCTGTTCTATTCCAGGGTGTTCCTTTCCAGAGAGTTTAATTTCTGCCTGGGGTCAGCAAGCCTAGTGCCCCGGGCGTATTACTAGGTGACGCCCTCTGAAGCATTCCAGCTTTTGCTGGGTACCTCGGTTGTTTCAAGAGCTGCCGTGGTTGGGTGGTGTCTGTTCCCTCACTTCTGGGCAGGAAGCTTGGTCCCTGTGTGGTGGTGTTGCCACAGTGGGACCTTTTTGGGGTGTGGAGCCTGCTGAAAGGTGACACGGTCGGGGGTGCCAGCCTCTCCGATGGAATAGATTAGGTCACAGGCAGGTGAGGGCTGGGCCTGCCCGGAGGCCTGGACAGGTCAAGGCTTGGTGGCAGGGAAGCCAGAGTCCTGGGCCACCAGCAGCCCTGTGGCAGCAGGAGGTGCAGGAATCCTGAGGCAGGGCAAAGGCCTGTGGTCCCAGACCTGGAGGACCGCAAGGCCCTCGCCTCTTTTCCCCTCACTGAGAGCCAGTGTGGGGTGAGGGTGGGGGAGGGCTCTCTGCTGGGTTCATGCTCGACGTGCTCAAACCCATGGTGCAGCCCCTCCGGAGAACAGGTGCCTCAAGGGGCAGCCTTGACCTCAGGTGGCTGCCCACTGAGATCAGGAACAGATCAAGGGTCAGGGCTGAGGTCAGGCTCACCATGACGCACACAGGCAGCACGTCCTCATGAGGCAGCCCAGAGGAACACCAGCTTTTCACCTTTGTGAGCTCTGGGCCCCCGAGAGACACACCAATCACTGTGGGCAGGCAGGTGCTACAGCAGTGTGGAGCTGAATGACCATGTGCACAGCCCACCCGGGGCAGGTGGCAGTGGTGATGGCGTCCTGCCTGACTCTGGTGACACAGAGGAGGGGCTTCTCAGAGAAGGGCTTCCCCATCTTGTGGCTTCGCAGTAAATCATGCTTGGTCTGCTTTGTGCCGAGTCTGAGTCTCAGAGTGTCTCGTATCTGCATGGCCGCCTCCCTGGTGTTGCCTGGGGACAGCAGGAGACAGATGCCGGCTGCCCACATGGAAGGTGAAGGCATTGGGCAGGTCCACAGCAGGGGGAAGCGTAGATGCCCAGAAACACAGCCGTGTGAGACGCAGATCTCTGCAGGGGCAGGCAGGGCACGGAGTCCAATCATCTGGTCACGTTTAAGATGGGACGAGAGATTGCCTCAGGCAAGCATGTCATCGTGGGGCAACACTAGGGTGACCTGGGATTCCTGTTGACTTGGCGTTGTACCGGCAAAGTCACCAGGCACCAGAGCAGATATGGGCCCCGGGGTCAAGGCAGATGGTGGCTAACAGCGAAGGAGGCGACTGGGGTCCAGGACTGAGCACCTAGCACTCCCGTGACTGAGGGTGGGCGGGGAGGACGGTGATGGGGTGAGATCTGAGGGGTTCCCCAAGGACCGGAAGCCGAGGCTGGGCCTGCAGAGTGGGGCCTGGCCCTGTCCACCTCAGGGTGGCCCTGCACACCTTAGCTCCAGAGTGGCCAAGAGTCTTCACGAGCAAAGCCTCAGAGCACTGGGGAGGGAAGACAGCTCCCTGAAGTCCAGCTCTGTGCAGTGCTGGGTTTACATGGGGTGGCCCTGCAGGAGGAGGGTACAGCGCCCGTCCTCCAGGTGCCCAGGAAGTGTAGGCTCAGTGCCACCTCAGCCTCGTCTTAGTCTGTCACTGGGGCTGGTGGCCCTCCAGGAACACACGCCATGCTTTGGCTTTCTACATGCCATGGTATTGGTCAGGAAGGGGACAGATGACACACCTTGACTGGGGGCACAGACAGCACCCCTTGCTTCCCTGCCCAAGGACCAGTTGTGATCCGGAGGAGGCTTTCGGGGATGAGGGGCTTTTTGGGGTGGCCTAAGTATTCCGAGCGCAGTTTCTGCAGTCAGGAGCTGAAGGGTTTGCTGAGGGTGCTCTGGCTGGGGTGTGGGTAGCACAATGGTCAGACTCGGGTAGCACCCCCTGTGCGGGTCTAACAGGGTCCACTGCTGTGGCTGGGCAAGCCGCAGCAGGAACAGGATTCAGTCCTGATGTGTGGGACTCTAGATGGGTCCTGAGGAGCAGCAGAGGAAGCCAGCAAGGCCCAGTCTGGATCTGAGAGGCTTCACTCCCCGGTGGGCTGAGGCAGGACGGTTTGCAACAGGCAGGACCTACGAAGCACTGATGCGGTGCTGGCAAGTCCTGCACTGGCTGGCTTCGGTAGCATCAGCCGCTCTGCTCAAGGGCAGAGGCAGCTTATTCCCAGGAAAGCTGTTCCCCGGAAACTGTTCTGTGTCACCTTCTGAAAAGAATCAGGATCAGGCACAGAGGTGTTGCCAGAGCAGCCACTGGGTCCTATTTTCAGACTTCTAGTGAGTGTCTGCAAGGAAAGCATCCTCTTCTCATTTTTATGTTTATTTTTTAAAATTCTTTTTAATTGAGTCTATTGGTACCGTTTGGGTAAGAGTACTGATCACATTCATCACAGGGCATTGCATCTGTACATGGTAGTTTGATTCCTCTTTTTTCCCATTCCCCTCCCCTCCCTACACACCCTCTTCTCCTCCCTTAACTTCACCCCTTTCCCCTCCTCATTTACAAAGCTTTGTTTCCATTTTTCTCATGCTTTTCTTTTCCCTTCCTATCCGCCTCCCCCTTCCCTGCTCGCCTTTCTTTTAAACAACTTCTTCCCGTTTCCCAGTATCTATTGTGCATTTGGATCCTTATTTACACTTTCAATTTCTCAGACCAGAGAGACAATGGGACAGATTAGAAGATGCAGAAACAACTCCAAGCACATTCAGCCACCTGATCTTTGACAAAGAGGTCAAACACCTTCACTGGAAGAAAGACAGCGTCTGTTACAAGTGATGCCAGAAAAGCTGGCTTTCCTCATGCCAGAGACTAAAACCAGACCCGTGTCTCTCACCATGCACTAACGTCAAAACGGATCAAAGACCTAAATATTAAAACAGAAACACTAAATCTGTGGGAGAGAGAGCAGGGAATGACTCTTGAAGACCTAGGTGCAGGCGGAGACTTCACTTTGCCCACCTGTGTTAGTCCAGGCCTGCTGTGCGTGGCGTTCACACTCCTCGCGTGGCGTGGGTGCGTCTACTGCACACCCCTGCGCCCTCTCCTCTTCCTCTCGCCCCTCCTCTTCCTCTGCACCTCCTTGAGGAAGGTCTGTCTCCCTCCTTCCTGTTATCTACCCTTTATTTTTCTCTTCATTTTATATTTGGGTTTCGCATGTAAGAGAACCTGTGTGATATTTAAGCTTCTGTGTCTGATTTATTTCACTTAGCAAGAGGGATCCAGTTTCCTACAAATGACTCAAGTTTGCCCTTCTTCATGGCAGGGTAGAACTCCACAGTGTGTAAACGCCACATCTCTTTTATTTGTGCATCTAATGATAGGCATGCAGGCTGCGCCCAGGATTTAGCTGCTGAGCTATGCTGCTATAAACACCCAGGTGTGCTGGAGAGCATTGAAGCTGAGTACACGTGCAGGGCTGTGGCATGGCCCGGGCATGGCTGAACTGAGGAGACACCTCAGAGGGCAAGACAGGCCACAGCTGAGGCCACCTGGAGACTTTCTGGATGGTTTTCCTTAATTAGCATCGTCTGTTGCTCTGAGGGGTCTTTGAACCCCACCACGGTCCTGCTCAGGTTTTCTCCATTGTCCACTCAGCTCCTTGCTTGTTCTGATTAAATACGGGCTGTCCAGGCTCAGTCGGCCGGCCAGCCAGCAGACTTATGAACTCTGCCAAGGATTTCACTCCTCCTGCAGCCCTAAAGTCCGTGCCACTTGTCTCATTCACTTGAGCCTTTGCCATGCACCCATTTGGGGGGTTGAGGGTCTAGGCACAGACCTCAACAGCCTGGCACCCGAACAGGGACTTGACAGTAGAGACGTCGGTCGTGGAGGGTGACTTACCTTCACTATGTTCCTGGGGCAGCCCCGATGCGCATCTGTTTCACCTTACCTCATTTTCTTTGGAAAATCCCTTCATCAGGTAAGTCCTGGGGAATTCTCTGTCTGAAGTGTGGCAGAAATACAGAGTGGAACTTCTTTTCCTTCTTAGGCAGGGGGCCATGTCACCTCTGAGAATAGTGTGGTGCAACTCTTGTTGGAAACTCATGTTCAGTGCCCTTGGTATGCCGAGGGGGGGTCCACTCATTGTGGAGGACTGGGACAGGACAGGCAGCCTGCTGCCTAGGAGCCTCGAGCTCCTAGCTCTGTCTTGCACACCTGGTATTTTTGCTGGTATGCTGTGATAACGTTGGCAGGCAGGCAGATGGAGTACCGGCCTGGCCGGCGTCTTGGTTTTCCTGGGGATGCCGCTCCTGCTGCTTCTACACCTCCCCTAATGCTTCTCCCCTAACCTCATTCTGCTGCCACTGCAAGACACAAGCCCTGTAAACCTCTGGGCAACTTCTCACCAGTTCTAGCTCCCAGGCAAAAGCCGGCCCAAGGGGCTAAACAACACGGGGAATTAATTGCTTGTCCTTTTGCGTCAACAAGGACAACAGTCCAGCTTTGAAAGTTTGCATGCTGAGCATACTGGAGTATTGTTGCTTCACCTGTGGCCTCATCGTAGCCCGTTCAGCTAAGTGTTTCTGAATCTGTAGCTCAGCTAATTGTCTTGCCTTATGTCTAAAGTTCATGATGTTACTCATGGAAATCAAGGATTTGGCTCCACTGTGGTGGCTCCTGCTACTCCCCTGGGAGATGAACATCCAAGCCTCTCTTTAGCCTCTGACGACCTTTGCTTTTCAGGTTTTAGCTCCTCTATTTGATGCTTCATGGGGTCACACAGATCCTGCTGATGTGATCTCTGACTCTCCTCCTCTACAGCAGGCCCTTCAGAGCACTGCTCACACACACCGCAGCTGTGGTGCACCGAGTCCTGAAGGGCTGCCCTCTCTCCTTGCTCATTTTTTTTGGGGGGGGGAGGTTACCAGGGATCGAACTCCGGATCTTGAGCTTGCAAGGCAGGCGCTTATGCTGCTGAGCTAAATCCCCAGCTCCTTGCTCATTTTTCATTCAGCCCCTTTGCCCGCGGGGGCTCCTGTGGCCAGTTGCCTTCCAGAGCAGCAAGATGTTTATTGTTAAATGGTTACACTTACCCCACTCACCTGACGGTTAAATGAAAAACTGCTTGCTTATGCTGGCTGAGCGGCAGCCTTTCTGCTGACCCTTGGTGTACAAGTCCCTTTATTTTCTTTTTGCCTGCAGAGCCCTGCAGTCCTTTCCAAGATCTTTTATACAAGATCTCTGCTAATTGGCCTATACCAAATTTGACTGGTCAATTTATAGTTGCAAATTCTAAATTTGTAAGAAGTTATTGTAATTTGGTTTGGTTAAGGATATGTTGAGTGCACTCTGATTTTGTGAGGTGTTTGCAGTCTGTCTGTGTATTGGTTGTTTGTGCAATCTGTTTTGTAAGTGGTTGCTGGGAGTTGCTGAGCTAGTGATGGTTCACATATGTGGAGCAAAAGCAAAAATGCCCATACAAGAGTGTCCAAGTGGCACGGAAGACCTGGAAAATGCCCTGAAAGCACAGGCTGTAGGAGGTGAGCTGGGTTAGCAAAGGCGTGGTATGAGTGTATAAACAGCCCCTGGAGACCTTGGAAAGTTCTCACGGACCCCAAGCGGCTGTGTGCTTGTTTCTGTGTTTGTTAGGATCTGTACAGATCATCTGTCTACGTTTGTCCATCTTTCTGCTCTGTGAACAGCTGTTCCTTTTATTTTGAACTCAATAATTTTTCTCTTTTTTCCATTTTTGTGTTTGATCAAAAATTCATTGGGTTGTGTATTTACAAAGCATGCTTTTATCTTGGTTGCTGGGTGGTCCAAATGACATGAAGATTGGGTATATAAGTGTAATATGTTATTTATTATGAACTTGAAAGTCTCATTATTTACAAAAGGAAAATAATATTGGGATAACAAAATCCCCTGGGGTTGAGGTTATTGGACAGGACTCTGATAAGAAAGCAGCTACCTGGTAACATTTTAAACTCCAATAATCTCCATGGCCTTGTAAGAGATAGTTCCAACTAAAAGTTGTAAAATATATTATTATCACATATTCACATTGGTTGTTTCCAAAAGAGATAATGCAATGTTTTTGGTTTGAAAATGCCTGTGCAAAGATTTTGTATGGCTATGACAGTTGACTGCTATCAACTTTGTGATGTATTGGATGTATTCATGCTCTGGATGCATAGGTCTCCCAGGTTGTAAACCAGGAATTACTTAGGGTAATAGACTTCTGTTTCATGTCCAGACCTCTGCCCGTATCAAAGACTTGTGAGATTCACATTCCGCTAAAGGTAATAGGTTGGATAGGAACTTCTTGTGTATTAAATAAGGGTTATTAGCCTAAAAAGGATATTTTATGTCAGAACGGAAATTCAGATTATTGTAAGAATGCCATGATTGTCATGATACAATAATCTTTCCAGGTTTAATTATCAATTTACCATATGTAACTGTTAGTACTATAGGTATTCAAATATTAAAATGTCCACGGACAGTAGAAAATAGGTTTCATGTAATGTTCTAAGAGCTTCGTGCTTATAAAAGATAGTAATGTTAAGCTTACTGCCTCTAATATTCTGTATTGTTATCAGTCTTTTCTGGATGTTCAACAGCTGAGGTTCAGAGACCAAAACAGTAGAGAGATGGATGGGCTAAAAGGATAGCCAGTATTTTGGCCCCATCCCTTCAAGGTCAGTGGGGATCCAGAACATAAAAGAACCTCTTGATGCATCATCTTAGGATACTCAGTGAGTCCTTGGTCTTCCGATCAAGAAGATAATGAGACCACAGAGGAAAGTGACCTTCAATGTAAGGTGTGCCTAAGGAGAGTCACCAGGAGAAACTCTCCCAAGCTTTCACAGAAAGCAAGCTGGTCAAGCAGTGGCTGTGACTCATCCAGATGGCTGACACTGACAGAAGAGCCAGCAGGTGCTGTGCGTGGCTCTAGGATAACTCCCGAGGAGCCCTAACTGACCTTGATAGGAAGTAGGAAACGGATTGTATTTAACGCAGGTCTCACCTTAGCTTGGTCTTGAACCTCCTGCAGAAAAGGGTGCCCATGCAAAATGTTGGCTGTAGGAGAAGCTCAGATCACTAACATCCTTTGACAGTTGCTGGCTATGCTGGCAACAGACTACTATCACGAATTTATGGACTATGTAGAGTGTAAATTGTGGGAGTTCTTGTAACACAGCTCCTCCAGCTTCAGCAGGCCACCCATCCCGTGTATCAACAGAACAAAAAAAGAGGGATATGTTGAGAGTGTTTAAGCTGAATATACCTGCAGGGCTGTGGCATGGCCTGAACATGATTGAACTGAAAACGAGACACCTTAGGGGCAAGACAGGCCATAGCCAAACCACCTAGAGACTTTCTGGATACTTTTCTTTAATTAGCATCGTCTGTTGCTCTGAGGAGTCCTTGAACCCCGTCCACGGTCCTGCTCAGGTTTCCTCCATTGTCCACTCAGCTCCTTGCTTGTTCTGATTAAATATGGGCTGGCCAGGCTCAGTCGGCCGGCCAGCTAGCAGAGTTAGGAGCTCTGCGGAGGATCTCACTCCTCCCGCAGCCCTAAAGACCACGCTGCGTGTCTCACTCCTTTGAGCCTTCACCTTGCACCCATTTGGGGGACTGGGGGTCTAGGCACAGACCCCAGCAGGTGGGCATGGATGTAGCATGATGTCTTTAATTCTTTCAGGAAGATACCTAGAAGGGGACAGCTGGGCCAAATGAGATTTCTAGTTTTAGTTTTCTGAGGAATCTCCACACTGATTTGCACAGTGGCTGTGCCAGTTCACACACCCCACGCCCCACAACCTCGCTAGTGCTCATTATTTGATTTCTCAGTGATGGCCATTCTTTCTGGGGCAAGACAATCTCAGTGTGGTTCTAATTTGTACTTCTGTGATGGCCAGTGATGTTGAGCATCTCTTTGTGTATTTATTGGCTATGTTTATTTTACAGAAAAGGAAAATAACTCTCAGAGAGATTGATTTGTTGGTTCAAAATCATGTGGCTCCTGAGGGGAAGAGGAGGGTTTGCAGTCAGGTCATTCTGACTTGAGTTGCCTTCATTCCTCCAGTGTGTGTGTGTGTGTGTGTGTGTGTGTGTGTGTATGTGTTCACATGCACGTGCCTGTCTCCTATCCTGTTGGTCACTGGAAGGACAGGAAGGATGGTGTAGGACCCAGGACCTCCGAAGAGGGGCTCTTCTGCCAGGGGTTTTCACGAGCTGGAAGGACCCTGTGATGGCGCTGAGGTGCCGCAGAGCACAGGAGAGCTAGAGCACCCAGGTCACCAGGTGCTCTGGAGGTGACTCCCTCTCTGAGTCAGCCTTGCTTCGTGTCCTGGAAGGGAGGGTGCAGTACTTACCTGATGAGCCCCCTGCATTTTTTTAGCAGCTGACACGCTGTACAGAACAGTGCTTTGGCTCCGTTGTGAAGCATTAAACGGATTCTAGTTCCACCTGTTTGGTGACGATCGTAAATTTTTGCAGTTTGCAGAGGAGTGAGCACTTTCACATATCAATGGCTTAAAATCTACGAGATAACAGAGGCTTTGGACAGGAAATAAGGTCCAGTGCTTTGCTATCGGTAAAACTCTTTTGTTACTCATTGTAGTAGGGAGGTCTTGCTTACAAAAGGAGTTTAATTTTCTTGCTTCTGAACTGCAGATCTTAAAGAAGAAAGCCAGGAAAACCCAAAGTTTACCCAGAGGTGATCATCAGTAAAGCCTTGGTGTTTCGGGCCACCCTGGATCGCAGGTCCAGATAGCCATGCTAGTGATTTTATCATCAGTATTACATATTAACTCTGTCTCCAGAACACCCCAGTGGAGGTGAGGAAAACTCAGAGCTCCCGATCAAACATTTCAGTTAGAGTAATTTCCCACAGGCTATGGAAACTTTCTATAAGCTTTTGCCTTTGAGATCGAGAACCAGTCACTAAGTTCCTGTCGTGTCCCAAGGAGG